ATTCTGCCGTCGAACTGAGTACCATTGTCTGAGATTAGAGCTTTTGGTATGCCAAACCAAGTAATGATATTCTGCCAAACAAACTTCTTCACATCTTTTTCTTTGATTGATGCCAATGCTTCTGCTTCCACCCACTTTGTGAAGTAGTCTGTTGCTGCGAGAAAGAACTTCCTGTTGCCGGGTGCTGTTGGAAGTGGTCCTACTATGTCCAAGCCCCACATTGCGAAAGGCCATGGGCTAGTTAATGGTAGGAGTTCTCTTGCTGGTTGATGTATTTGGTGCGCAAATTTTTGGCATTTCTCACACTTCTTCACATATTTCTCTGAGTCTGCCTGCATATATGGCCACCAATATCCTTGCGAAATGGCCTTGTAAGCTAGCGATCTTCCCCCTTGATGACTTCCTCACACCCCTTCGTGTATTTCGAACAAGAATGCTTCCACTTTGTTGGGATGAACGCACTTTGGGTAAGGCCCTGAGAATGACTTCTTGTATAATGCCAAAGATGGAGATAGCCAAAATCGCTGCGACTTCGCTCTTATTCTGTTGGCTTCTTTTTTTTCTTCTGGTAGGATGCCGTCTTTGAGGAACAGGATGATGGGATCCATCCAAGAGGGGCCTAATTCTGTGCAACATACCTCTTCTGCTTCGGGATCTTCTATGCTTGGTCTTGGTAAGTAGTCGATGAGTAATGGATGAAGGATGGATGCATCTGCCATTGAGGCGAAGCCTGCTAATTCGTCTGCTCTACTATTTTCCTCCCTGCCGATTTGCTCTATCCTTACTACTTCAAATTTCTTGATCTCTATTCTGACCAATTCTTGGTACTTGGCCATCCTATCATCCTTTGCTTCCTTTCTGGTTCTTCCACCGAATGAACGTATCCTTTGGCAGCGCGGTTGCCATTCACCGTGGCGAAACATTGCTTTGACATAATTTGATCTCCATAGACTTCTTCAATTATACCAGTGTCGTTGGGGAACCTCATTACTTGGTGGTAAGGAGTCCTGCCAGAAGCGCTTCATACTCTGCTTCATTGTTTGATGCTGGGAAGCCAAGGTTGATTGCTTGCTCTATAACCAGGCCGTCTGGAGAGATGAGGACTATGCCAAGTCCTGCACCATGCCGGTTGGACGCTCCATCCACAAAGAGCTTCCACATCTCTCCGACGAACAACTTCCAGCAAGTGGAGGGGTCAGATGATGTTGTGAGGTCAAGAATGGTGTTTTCTTCAAGGTCAATGCCTGTTTGCCCCTCGCCATCTGGAGTTAGTGAGTCTTGGTTTGTTTCTTCCTTGCTGTTTTTAGTCTGGTCTGCCTTGGAGTCTGACTGAGTGCTTTCTACTAGGGGTTGCGCTATTCCGGCGTCAACTTCCATCCCTAGTTCAGTTGTGTCAGTTAGGTCGACTGGGCAGATATGGTGGCTTCCAGGAGTAAACTCAGCAACGAAGTCTGCCAAAGATTGGGCTTTTACTGCAGTTCTGGGTTGGAACTTGATGTCGAATTGTCCCAACTCTATTGCCCACTTCAAGATTCGCCTAGAAAAGTTCGCCCTTTCAAACAAAGCTTTTAGTGGAAAGGCTGTGAGGACGACTATGGTGTGGGCATGAAAGTAGTGTGCCAATTTTCTTGAGGCCATCATTAAGGCTAACGCAAGTTTTTCCAGTGGCAAATACCTTGTTTCGGCTCCTAGCAATGTCTTGCTGACATAATAGATGGGCAGGTGTTGTATTCCTTCTGCACGAACCAACACTGCACTAACTGCGTGCTGAGAGACTGCCAGGTACAAGAAGAGTTCTTCACCGGGTATTGGGGTAACAAGTAGTGGTGGGGAAGACATGTATTCCTTCAAGCTTTCCAGAGCTTGGTCGCATTCTTCATCCCACTCAAACTTGGCTTTTAAAGCTTGAAAGAATGGTCGTAGTTTGTCTGATGATCTGCTTATAAACAGATTGAGCGCAGCCGCCATGCTGGTGAGATGCTGCACCTCTTTGACTGAGTTTGGTCTCTTTAACTCCTGGATTGCTTTGATCTGGGAGGGGTCTGCTTCTATACCCCGGTTGGTCACAAGGAAGCCCAAGACTTTGCCAGATCCAACTCCGAATGCGCACTTGGACGCATTGAGGCGCAACTTGTGTTTCTTCAAGAATTCAAACATTTCTCCCAAGTCCCTGAGATGGTCATTCTCATCCTTGCTTTTGACCACCATATCGTCGATGTAAGCCTCCATTGTTCTGCCTAACAATGGTTCAAACATCTTGGTGACCATCCATTGGAATGTCGCCCCTGCGTTCTTTAGGCCAAAGGGCATGACCTTGTAGCAGTACAATCCTCTTGGTGTTGTAAAGGATGTGACCTCCTGGTCTGGTTCATGCATGGCGATTTGGTGGTAGCCTCTGTATGCGTCCAGGAAGCTAAGTCGATTGTGCCCCACCGTTAGGTCTACCAGTTGATCTATCCTTGGTAGAGGAAAGCTATCTTTTGGGCATGCCTTGTTGACTGTTTTGTAATCGACGCAGACACGCCATTTGCCGTTCTTCTTTGGCACTACGACCGTGTTGGAGATCCATTTTGGGTAATGCACCTCTCTAATTGCCCCTGCCTCCAGCAGGTTTCCAACTTCTTCTGCCACTATTTCAGCATGGTGAAGTGCCGATCTACGAGTGCGCTGAATGACTGGTCTGGCGGATGGGTGGACATTGAGTTGGTGACGAAGACAAAAGTTTGATCCCTAAAACTTTTATATGTTGTAGTGGCTGGAGGTAGAGGTATTGGAGTGATGGTGGCATCAGCGATAGCAGTAGTAGTGTGGTAGTAATGGTGGTGGTTATGGTAACGTGGTTGTGATGGTAGGATAGTGGTGGCGGTGGTGATAGTAGTGATAATAATGTGATGGTATTAGTAAAATTTTAGCTTCGAAAATGTCTTCCACCCAAATAAACTTGTTTTCCATTGATTATAAAAAAAAATATTTTCCATTAACTCTTATTTTTTTGTTGTACCAAACGTCAAAAAACTTGTTTTCCATTGATTATAAAATTTTTATAATATCAAATATGTTTTCATTTTTCTTAATTAAAAGTGGGTCGCATGTACTTTAATATTATTATATTTTTTTTTGTGAAAAATGCAATTTCTAAAACATTTAAATAAAAAATATGTCGAGAGTGACTAATCTTGCTTGATTTAAGAAGTGTTGATCTTCCCGTAAAGACAGACGCATCTTTTCCGCAAAATTTTAAAAAATCATTTTTAAATATTTTAATTTTTTTCATCTCACATTTTAATCAAGAAAAAAAAAAAAATCACTAAAAATGTCACTTTCCAAATGAATCATAAATTTGATTTGGTTTATTTACAACAAACAGTAAGGGTGTGTTTGGTAACGTTTACGTTTTCAATTTATATTTACAAAAATTTTATAAATTGGTTTTTGTTTATTTTTAGAAAAATATAAACTACAAACTCGTTTGGTAATTGACAAAATATTTAAAAAATTTAAAAAATATAAAAAAGAACAAGAAATGACAAGTGGTGGTAATTGACATAATACAATGCTCACCTTAAGGTTAGATGGTGGAGATAAGTCTAAACGGAAAATATAATGCTAAATTGTTTTGTATAAAAATGTTAGAAGAAAAGTCTCAGAATATATAGAGAAAAATTTTGATCGTTAGAAATTCAAATTTCAAAAGGACAACAGTCATGTTCCACGACTATACCAATTAATACTAATTTCAAACAATGAAAAATGAAACTTCTCATTAATATTGCTTTGTAATTAACAAAAGTTGGGAAACACTATTATTACACAACAAGAAAGACAACGAAAATGTTTGAGTTCTAGAAATGAATATTTGGAAACTTTGAAAAGCTTTCAAACTGCCTTTATATTTTTCTCAACAACCAAACACAAAAAGAATTCAATTATTATTACTATTTTTGATGGGGGCATGAAACCCAAACCAAAAGAATTCAATTAGACAATAATATTAAAATTTTGAAATTTAATTTTTAAGTCTAAGTTGAACACTACATATGTAATTAACAAAGGTGCATGTGTATTGTGCGTGATCAATATTTAGTCTTAAAAATTTCCTTCAGCTAGTTTGTTAGAGTTTAAAAATGCTCATCCTAAAGTTAGATGATAGAGATAAATTTAAATGAAAAATATTTTTATTTTAAATTTCACTTGCCTTCTTAACAGTCAAGAATACAGTAACAATTAATCTCAAGTTTTCCTTCAACAAAAATCTTAAACTTCCCAACTTGCTCGCCATAGTCTTAACTTTTCAATACACGCTTCAATAAAATATGGCCCGATTTCAATCTCACTTATGTCTCTTAATTCTTCATTCCTAAACATGGTTGCACGTCACCATGCACGATCGTATTTATTTCTCTTCGCAACGCTAAGCCCACAAAATAATACTAATAACAACAAATGCTTTCAGATTACAAAAATAACCAAGTCAAACTTATTTTAGCGTCAAGTAAAATAGGTAAGATATAAATACCAAAAAAAAAAAAAAGGATTATAAAAAAAAAAAAAAGTAAAGGAACAATAACGCCTTCCTGATAGAACAAGAAATTGGTTATTGCTCCTTTACTTTTAAAAACGAGTATACACTAAGACCAAAGTCTTATCCATTTGTAGATGGAGCTTTCTCAAATTTATAAACTGAGACCACTAATTTATAAATCAAAAATTTTACCAAACAAGTTTTTATTTGAATTTTTAAAATTTTTATAAATATAAATAGAAAATTAAAAACGTAAGTGTTACTAAACGGTACCTAATCATTCCTTTAGGCCCAAACACTTTTATGAAGCCCAAACATAATAAGACTGGGTCCAAATTTGAACTAGTACATAGACTCAACCACAAGGGCCAAGCCCAGCTTCTAGTCCGGCCCAAACTCCAACTTCTTTCCCGCTCTTCTTCGATTTCAAAACCGCGTTCACATTATCTCCATTTTTTTTTTTTTTTAATATTGATATGCATTTCTGTTTTTGGATGAAATGTTCACATTTTTGTCATCAAATTTGATTCAGGAGAGAAACTAGAGAGAGAAAGTGGAGAGAGATTGGGATAAGGATGCAGAAAGAATACTTTAGGGTTAGGGTTTCAATCAATGGGATCCCCTGAAATTGACAAGACCACCACCCCCACCACCACCACCACCACCACCACCACCACCAACACCAACACCTCCCCATCAGACTCTGTTACAATCCAAGTATACCAATGTTTCACCCTCTCTCTTTCTTTAATTTCTCAGTTTCTTGATGTTTTGTAATGTCAAAGTCAATCTATTGGCAGATGTTTGTTTGTGTCTATATATATATATATATATATTTACCAGTGGTGGCGCAAATGCGATGCATTTATAATTTCACTGTTATATCTTTAAATGGTTTGATGATTGAGATGTGATTTGATGAATGATGAGCAGTTTGATGAAGCATTTATTGGATGTCGTAGTTATTAAATATGAGGGCCATTATTGAAGTTTTTTTTATAAAAAAATGCGTGACAGTTTACTCCAACCTACGTATAGGCTTTATACAATAGAATGGATTATATGTATATATATACTAGCTGTGGGTGCAAATGCGATGCGTTTGCAATTTCACAGATATATCTTTAAATGATTTGATGATTGAGATGTGATTTGATGATTGAGATGTGATTTGATGAATGATGGGCAGTTTAATGAAGTATTTATTGGATGCGGTAGTTATTAAATATGAGGGGAATCATTGCAAAATTAGAAAAATGAAGCATTTATTGGATGTGGTAGTTATTAAAATGAGGGGTATCATTGAAAAATTAAAAAAGAAAAACAAAGCATTTATTAGATTTGGTAGTTATTAAATATATTGAAAAAAAAAACAAAAAACAAAAAACAAACCGTGACTGTCTATACCAACTTAGGTGTAGGCTTTATTGAATAGAATAGATAGAATAGATAAAATAGATAGATAACCCATTCATGGGGTATGTATCTATATATCTATCTGTATGTAATAAGATAACCCATTTAACATTGTCAATCTTATTCCAGTTTTAATTTGTGTTTGGATTGTTTGAATTGTTGTATAAAGGGACTTTGTTAGGTGGGGTAGGTTTTTTATATCATTTTTGTTGGACTGAATTAAATTAGGGGTTTGAATTTAAAAAAGAGATTTGATGATTTTTAATGGACATTCTGATAGTCATTGAATTATTTAATGTAATGGATTTTGTTGTTTGTTTCTGTTGGAGTGAGTTGAATTAGCTTTAGGGTTTTGGACTTTCATTAGGAAATGTGGTTAGGACTTTGAGGGATTTATATGTTAAAATCTGTGATTTTGATTTCATTCTAATTTCGTTGGTGGAGGTGATTTGAAGTACATTTTGTTGGTGTTTCTAAATAGTTACTCTTGTTGTTCTTGTGCAATTGTTGTCTGAAATTCTCAACTTTGATGGAGTGTGTTCCAGGTTCAGATTTCGCAATACATATGTATGACTGATCCTTCGTTTGGATATTGAGAAAGTTGTGGAATAAAATTAGGAGGGGATATGTTTATTTTTAAGCACAACTGAAAAATTAGCTTCACTTCCTATTACCTATGCAAACCTTAGTTGAGTTGCTTCTCATTATTTATTTGGTGAATGTAAAAACTTTTAGGAGTTATTATCCATTTATAGAAATCAGGTTTGATGATATACATTTTCTTTGTTTAATCATAGGAAAACAAAATGTGACTAACTTTTTTAAATAGTTGAATGATATGAACTTTTTTATATAATCATAAGATATCAATGTTAGTTTAATGCCGTTGTTTACTTGGACCCATACAGCAAGAAATAGGATTTATTGATATTCACTGTTCTTTTTCACTCCCCCAACAACCAAACAGAGTTGCAAGTTGCAAGTGTTTAAAATTTGAAGCTTTGTTGTGCAATTCCATGATGGAACTTTCTTTTTGAAATTTTAAAAATTAACTATGTAGGCATATCCTTGGAAGCATCATTCATGGGGAGAATATGCACTGATCATTCTGGAAAAAACTGCTCTTCTTTTCGTTGTGGTGTGCTGGTTTTCATTTACAATGCTCTTAATAATGAATTCTTATCTATCTTCGCTTCCTTTGATGTCAGGACTCCGCTATATTTAGTTACATAAGCAACCTTTCCCCTATAAAGCCTGTGAAAGCAGCACCTATGGCAGCAGGCTTCTCAGGACTTGGCTCTCCTCCTAGTGTGTTCACATCACCTCATCTAAATCGACATCAAGAAACATCTTATTTGAAAAGGTTTGACTGTCTTGAATTTTATTGTCGGTGTGGGTTTTTTTTTCAGATTGAAGAACATCGATTATGAAATGAGAATCATTCATGTGAAGATGCTTGTTTTTCTCAGGCCTCGATGCCGTCAATTATGTAGTGCAGAATTATCTCAACAGGATGTTAGAGGCAAGAAAATTGCCATATGTTCAAATGAAATTGAGAAATCCGAAACCCAAGGCAGCAGTGTATTGGTCCCTTGCACTGAGAAAGAATGTGAAAACAAGGGATCTGTGCAAGGCCAGGCTACTAGTCCCTCAGGATGTGTTGATGATTATTTGGCCGATTCTGTGGAGGTGGATTGTGCAAACTCTGTACATTCAGGCAGTTTAAGTTTGATACAATCTGGTGATGTGCCTAAATCATTGAATGATTGTAATGATTTGAAGGAAATGATACCAAAACTTGATGAAAAAAATGATATAGGACAATATGCAGAGAAGGCATTAGGTGCTTTTCCAGCCACTTCAGAGCTAGCTGGGCAGAACTTTCAAGAAAAGTCATCATTTGACAATAAGCCTGTTGAAACTGATACTAAGCAGGGAAGCAGTGAGATGACTCCAAATATATGCCCAATAGTTGAATCTGATTTGTCTGTAGACAAAGCACTTGAAGAACATTATGATCTTCCAGTAGCTCAGGTAATTGATGATCCTTGTTTACACACACCAAATTAAAAGCAGTATCATTTTTCTGTAAGCACAAATTGTTCTAATTTAATTCGGACAAGATGAAATGTCCATCTTTACTTACAGAAAAATCCATAGGTATGCACTTGTATATGCATTAATTACTATTATATCACATGGTTTTAAATTGCAGCATGTTGTAGCTGCACATAAGGAGAAATTGGATTGTGCAATTCAGTTTCTTCAGGAATCTTTGCAGCCCATTCAGGGATATGGCGATAGCAGCATGACCGCTATACAAGCCTCAGACAGACATGTTGAGAATATCATCCTCCATGATCCCAAGGTATGATTAAATTAATACTTGTCTCGTTCCTGCCAAGTTGTCTATTATCTTGTGTTTTCTAGATGGATTGATGATTATTTAAATTGTTTAATGTGAAACTACTTGTTTTTTTTCAGATTTTTAAATGAAGAAAGTTTGTTGTTCCCTTTAAAGTGTCATAGAATTAAAAAATGATTTCTTCTTTCTTGAATGTTAAGCTGTTTAAATGAAAGTTCTGCAAACTCATTGTTCTGAATATGAATTTTCCATATCAGACTTACCATGTGTTTCTGCCCATCTTTTTCAACTTTTCATTTTCAACAATCCAGGTATTAAATGCTCTGTAGTTATATATTTTTCTTTCTCTTGGCTTTCTTTTGTACAAAAAGCTAAACTGGAAATGGAGTCTCTTGCAGTCAAACTAATTCAGTGTGCCTTGAGGGAGGCATCCACTAAGCATTGATATGTTTAATTGAATTTTTTATTATATATATATATATATGAAAATTTTAAAATTCCCGAGATATTGATTCGTGATTATGTTTCAATTTAAAACAATAAATAACAATCTCAATCAAACAATCAAGACAAATTGACACAACGATTTAACGTGAAAAAAAAAATCACAATTGGAGCGCCTCCAATTGAGATAAAAAACCACGGACCAAAATCACAAAGCAATCCACTAAGAAGATAAAAATGAATTACACATGTGTACTCTTAATTACCCAGCAAATTCACGTCTGAATTGAACCGACCCCGATGTGCCTCTTCCACCACTATTTTCACCCCGGAATTGTCTTGCCCAACGTTAAATCTACAACGCCGATGTTGAATCCACAACGATGAGCCACTCCAAAATCCACCAAAGCTTCAGGCTCAAGTTCTCTGGAATTCACCGAAGAACACCTCTTTCTTTTGTGAACATAACAGAAAAAACAATCTCTTGATGAAATCAATATGAAGCTCGTAGATTCATTGATCACTCTCAAATCATCAAGGAAACACTTAGAAAAATACCTTCCAATATAGAAAACCTTGGTTGCTTTGCTCTCCCAGAATTTGGACGGCCTAAACTCTAAAAACAGCGAACGGCGCACTTTATAGAAAATAGAGCCGCGAAGACCGAAACTCACTAAAATGCGTGCCCATTACTCGAGCCAAGACTCCACCGCTCGAGCGCATAAAGAATTCTCTTAGAAGTTAAGTCTGCTCTGCAAAAATATTGGATGATGTCAGTCATCGCTTGAGCGCACAAATGACCACTCGAGCCAACTTTGGCTTACATGGTCAGCGAAGTGGCAAACATGAAAGCCTCAAGATTACAAATTCCTCTGCATAGGCACAATTCAGGTTGAATTTGAATATGAACACTTAAATCTTCACTGAAACATAAGAGCGAATAAAATTATAACTTCAAGAAATTTTGTCAAACAAGATTGCTAATTACAAAAACCTAACAATATATAATGCAAATTTGAAGAATCTTTGTTGTTAGGGCTAGGGCTGCAAATCAACTAAGTTGTGCTGACCTCCTTGGTGTTTATGGTTGGCTTGGTTATCTTCCACTTGGTTGTGAAGAGCTCAACCACCTCTATCCAGACTTAGCTCATCTCAAATCAGACAAGCTCAAGCTCATATAGAATGTCTAAATCATATTCAACAATAGGGAGAAGAGACGAATGTTGCTTGGGCGCCTTTAATGAAGATAAGATGGATACAATAGTACGTAAAAATACAAAATTCCACCCACTTTAGTGATAGAACCTTGAATTTAAAGCATAAACTGAGGGTTTCACAAGGCATGCATACTTTTATTTTGCACGTTATCTATGAAACAAATCATTGCTGAAGCCTTGTAGATTTGAGGATTTGAAAGAGCTAGTTGTAGCCATGTACATCGTGGTTGAAGGGAAACACACAAAGAATCACAAATATAGACACAGAACATGGACACGAGGCGAGACAAGACAGACACACAGACACAATATTTCTGTAAAAATTAGGATTCAAACACGTCGGGGATACATTGAATAAAATAAGAAACTTATACTTGAGAAATGATGCAAATTCTAACGAAGTGAGAAACTTAACCTAGAATGCTTGAGGTAGGCATGATTCTACTGGGAGATCACTCCATGAACTCATATTTTCTTGACATTTGTATATAATAGCAGGGTTGTGTGCTCTAATGATGACATTATGAGTAAGGGTCTATTTATTTGGTATACAAGGACTTTTTTTATTTCAAGCCATGCCAATGAAAGAAAAACATGTGAGCTTTTAGGTTTTATATTTTGTATTTCATCATCAAACCCTTCTAGGAAATCTCTTTTTGCAATAGCGTAATTACAAGGGTTAATGTAGGGTAAACAGCATTCTGGCATGCATAGACGCTGTCCTTGGTTTGAAGAGGCTCATCAGAATATTATGACAAACAGCCCTGGTTTTGGGAGTCCGTCAAATATTGTAACTAACTCAAGGCTATCTACTAGTCATGCAGACTTGGAGGTTTTTGAATCATCTTGTCTAGAAGTAAGTGCAGCTTCCAGTGGTAGGCAGCTGATTAACTTGACCCAACCCATGATTTCCCATAGAAACAGTGGATCAAAATCAGCAGTTTTGAAGCCTTCAGGTATTGGATTACACTTAAATAGCATCATTAATGCCATGCCAATAGCTTGTGGCGCTATTGGAAGCATGAAATCTGCTGAAAAGGGTTACATGAATGTAGAAGGGAGGAAATTAATCTGTCAGCAACCAGCAAACACAAAGAGTGGCTCAATTTTACGGAATGTGAGAGAGAAAGTTTCAGCAAGCAGTGAAGATGGTAGTTATGAAACTCAGGCCTTAGCAGCAATAACTTCTCTTGCTTCTCAGTCTTCCCAAATTGAGAAACCATCAAATGATCCTGCATTGTTGAAGCAAGGCGAGTATCAGACAACTCCATGTGACAAAGGGAAGTCCATCTCCAAACGTGCTGATGCTGTTGAGGAATTGAACCGATCAAGCCCCAAAAAGAAAAGGTAAGCCTGATGGTTTCCTTTCATAATTTTAGTCTTTCAATGCATCTCAACATTATTTTTTTGTACTGGGATCTATTTGTTTGTTTACGTTCTTTAGGAAGAAGGCATGGACCACCAATGATGATGATGATGATGATGATGATGATGATGATTATAGTTGCATTCATTGCAATTGTAAGAAGTCTAAATGTTTAAAACTGTAAGTAACTTGAACTTTTGGTTTAGCAGGCCTTGCACTGCTGTTGTGAATCAATGTAACTTGTCTTGTTGCAGTTACTGTGATTGTTTGGCTGCTGGAATCTATTGCGATGAAACTTGTACTTGCCAAGAATGCTTTAACAGACTTGACTATGAAGATACAGTTCAGGAGACCCGGCAACAAATCGAATCTCGAAATCCACTTGCATTTGCTCCAAAGATTGTACAGCATGTCACTGACTCTCCCGCAAACAACAATGGGGTATTGAACCCTGACAAATTAATTTTTTAGGAGTTAACCTTACAACCCAAGTTTTTAGTAGTACTCTTTTACATGGAAACACCAATATCTTAGAAGCTTTCTGCAGGAGAATGGTAATAATTCGACACCATCCTCAGCAAGGCACAAAAGAGGGTGCAATTGCAAGAAATCTATGTGTTCAAAAAAATACTGCGAGTGCTATCAGGTTTTGTGTTCTCTTATAGCTTTATCTATGGCATTATGCTCCTCTTTCTGCTTTTGTACTTAATTCTTATTTGGCCAATTTTCTGATCATCTCAAAAGGCTAATGTTGGATGCTCTACTGGATGCCGGTGTGAAGGCTGTAAAAATGTCTATGGTAGAAAGGAAGGTAATATTTTACACAAATCTTTCTCATAATCTCATATGCCATTGTAGTCTATATCATAAAATGTTTACTCTTGGTGATTTCTTCTATATATTAAAACGAAGAACATTTTACTCTGGATGGCTGTGGTTTACCAAGCATCATGGTATGGGTATGAATCTAACTGTGGGCTGAACAACTTGTGTATCCAAAAAACACTTATGTATATATCTTTATTATGCTGAGGGGTGTCAGGATATTACACGAGGTGTTAGTTGATCTCCTTACTGAAATAAATCATTAATCACTTCTTTTACTTTTCATTTTGATTGGATTCTATTAATTGCTACCAAAAAATTTCTATTGTAGAATATGACATGACTAAGGATGCATTGAGCAAAGGACCCATTCATGAAAGTTTTGAAAACACATTTGACGAGAAACTCGAAATGGTGTCAAACCAAGAAGGTTTGTTGCAGACTGAGCTGTGTAATCCTCAAAACTTGATGCCTTTGACACCATCATTCCAGTTCTCGAAGTAAGATTCCTTCCAACCTGATTTTTTTAATTGTCTTTTATAAACTATATATTTTAATGGAATTCTCTTTTGCTTATTGTTCCTGCTTTTACTATCTAGCCATTGGAAAGATGTGTCGAAATCCCAGTTTTCTACCAGAAGAAGCCTTCCATCACCTGCATCCAATGTTACCTTCTTGCCACCTCATGGAAAGTCACAAAGATCTCCTGAGAATTCTGATAGCCATGGCATGTTACTGAAAGCTAGGAAACACGATGAAGATGTAGTTTCTTGTTATCAGGGATTGGATTATAGCAATGCAGAGACAGTGGATGGATTCTCACTGAGATGTGACGAACTTGCCATTGGAAATGATCTCAGTACACTAACTAATCCTCCCTCAACAACAATAGCTTCTCCATTGTCATCAAAATTAAGCGACTGGACAACTATTTCAAGATCCCAATCATGTCCCGTTAGTGGCCATTTATCATCAATTGGTTCTGATGAGAAGCTTCCTGATACAATGGAAGATAACATGACTGAGATACTGAAGGACACTTCTACCCCCCTCGATGCACTGAAAGTTATGTCCCCGCCATGCATTGATTCCAAAGACAGTACCAGTCAGAATGTAAATGATCCGGAAGATTGTAGTAGCAAGAAATGACAATCAACTGGAGGTGGGTAATCATAGCTTTTGTTAATTCATTTTTAGTTTGAAAAATAAAAATTTTCTTAGCCCCATCTTCGCTGTCTTCTAGATCTGTTTGCAAGTGATCATGGAAAGAGCTTGGTCCGAATACAATTTTATTGAAGTTTATTACATTGTTTGAATAAACAAAACCATGAATCTTTGTACAGCTTTTATAGTTCAGATTATGTTTTCAGTGCTTGAGTTGTCTTTGTCTTGGAACAGTTTGTTTTTCCTGCAGTGTGTTTAGCTATTACCCTGTTACTGTAAATTCAACGCACATGCATGTATGCGCACAGGAGCTTGGTTTCAGGTTTGAAATTAATACTATACATGATCTCATATTTTGATCTTTGGGTAATCCTATATTTGAAGTGTTTCTTGATGTTATTCAGATCAAGTTTAAGTGAACTTACAGGTGCTATGGAAAGATAGTTTGTTGAGTTGTATGAAAAAAAGTTTTAGCAATACGGTTGAATGTATCAAAGCATGATAGCTTATCTATTCTGATGGTTTGTTGAACAGTGAAGTAATGTAGTGATTTTAAGCTTATGATGCAGACCATCCTTATTATGAAAATCCATCACCTATGTTGTACCCTTCCTCCCAAAGCATTCCGGCATCTGTTATTCCTAGTCTCACCCAGTGAAGCAAAATTGAACAAGGGAGAAAGACATGGAATTGATTGGAACCGTAGCCAAGTGGCTAAGGCTTGAGTTTGCAAAACTTATATTCGTCAGTTCAAATCCGACCAGTTCCTACAGCGCCATTCCACTCATCATTTTTTTACATGCTTGGGGCCCCAGACCAAAGGTTCAAAGTTGAGAATTCTTGGGGAGAGAATTTTTGCAAGTTTCATTCATTTATACCAAACAACTAGTGAAATAATCCCAACACACACTGTTACTTACCTGATTAGGCTTAGCTAGCTAATCCTATCCTTCAATTTGTAATTTATGATTTTTAGTTAGTAGTAACAGAATAATAAGGATCAGGTTGTAATCCTTTTCTAGAGATTAGGTTGTTATCCCTTTATATTGGAAATAAACACAGTGAAGCAAGCAGATTTTTACCAACAAAGCTCAGGAGGAAAGGGGTCCCTCGAAGAACCCCATACTCATTCCTTTTTATCGGCAATACTCCCATTTTTACATGCAAATTAGTAAGGTCTTTTACATACACACAATGATCTCATGTTCATAATTATAATAATTGTCAAGAATGTCATGCTTACTGAAAAGAAAGAAACTTTCCAATCACCTGAACTAGAAAAAAACAAAAAAATAGATCCTTAATTAGTGCACTCCAAATTCCAATAGACTGATTATCCAACCTAAAAGAGCCTGTAATAATCCTCATTTGACCAAAGCTCAATAGTAGACTCAACTTCTACCAGTAGCGCACAAAAAAATATTAAGGAAAGTCTGGCCACATCGACTTTTAAGTGCCTGTCGAAGCTTCTTGTAGACTCAAAAAAATATAGAGAATAAAACACAACATTTTAAAAATGCACTTCAAAATACTTTATTTTTCAGCATAAGGATGTTCTGAATTACACCATAACCCAAAAGGACAATCAACTATGGAAAAAAGATCTCAAAATGAGATAAACAACCCATCTCAAAGAAAACAGGATATAGCCATAGAGAAAATTATTTTAGGAAAAGACAAAACTAAGAGATTGAGCAATGCAAGTATACCATATACCCCATGTCAACTAAGCCGCCCTTCTACTCCCTATGGATGTATTTTATGTTTTTCTTCATGTATACCCCAAGGCTCATTGAATTTTTCCAGAATTATGATTGTTAGCCCTCAAGCCCCAACGTTGCAGTTAGCCAGTGGCAGACCTCATTGGTCTCTTCAGGAACCGTGTAGTGACCGAGCCTGCATTTCAAAAAAATAAATAAATTAAATAAATTCAACGAATTGCTATTTAAACAAGAAACTCAATGGAGCTTGTTGAAGCCAAAAAAACAAATTAAATACCCATTGTAAGATCTAAATGTCAGATTTCGAAATCCAGCTGAACTTAAGGTTTGTGCAGATTTCTCTCCATGATTATATGCTACTACTTCATCACCTGAAACATAAATGTAACATACAAATTACAAGTCTCTATAGCAATTTTTTTTCCTAGTTTAGTTGTTGATCACATCACCATGTTCATACTTTTTCAAGTTATAGTAGTCAGACAGAATGCATCAGTAAGAGTGCAAACCGGAAATTTAAAGTACAAAAGATGGTGGGAAACGCTACAAAAACATTATAAAAAAATAAATAATAAATAAAAAAAAAAATTGCACTTTTCGTTGGAGAATAACATGTTAACATTACTAATTCAAAACATCTTTGAAACCTGTCAAATCTGAAAACTCCTCTGAACCTTCTCAGCAGGTATAACATTCTAGTTTTACCGGTTAATACTTTGTGAAAAGTTGATAAACCATTTATGTCAAACAAATACAGACAAGCTTGTCCAACTTAAGAATTGGGGCTTTATGTTTCACTCTAGTAAAAAGAGCTCAAGATCTTACAAACATTGCAGTACCTGTCAAAATGTGATCTTTCCTCTGATATTACTCACAAAAACTCCAATGGTAAGAATCATTTTCAACACATCAAAATTTATAAACTGAGACCACTGATTTATAAATCAAAAATTTTACCAAACAAGTTTTTATTTGAGTTTTCTAAATTTTTGTAAATATAAATAGAAAACTGAAAACATAAGTGTTACCAAACAACACCTAAGTGAACATTGGACACACTTTGTCAAAGCTCAGTGATCCCACGGCATAACAATATTTTGGCACACAGGTCAAAGACTAAAAGCAAAAGATATTCCCACCCCCCCCCCCCACAAAAAAAAAAAAAAAAAAAAAAAATCCCCGTTTAGGCTGTGTTTGGAGTATAATTTCACCGACCTTTTTCAAATCCATACTCCAAACACAGCCTTAGGGTTTGTAAATTGAGTTTCAAGAAATAATGAAGTGTTGATCCATTCCCTCATATAGGGTGGGTGGTTTAAGAGGAGAGGTGGAGTATTAACCGTTTGAAGAGTTCCAACTAGAAAGAAGACTAAGTTGCGTTAGATGTGCAGTATGATCGGACTGAATTTAGAGGAAAGGTCACAAGTCATTTTATGACTTTAATACTAGAAATAGATGTGCAAATCCATAATAAATTAACTACCGAAATGAACCTAAATTGTAATACAAATATTAAATGCATGGGATATTATATGTAAAAATACCTAATCCATGGCAGAGTAAAATGGGCAAGGATACTGCATGCCTTGCAGCCTCGTGTGACCGTTCCAACCGGTTCTTCAAAATTCTGGAAACCAAATACACAATAGCTTCTGAATTGAATAAAATGCTTAACCATAGAAAGTAAAATTAGAAAGAGAGAGATAAGAGACTGAAGCCAAACCTTGAACATGGAAGCCAGCCACTAAGACCAACAATTGCGCTTAGGTTCACAGGGTATGGGCTTCCATTCCCATATTGTCTAAAAACATGGCATGTTGCAGAGTATAGGGCGGTTGCAGCACCCATACTGAAGCCCCCAACACCTAGTTTTACTGCACAACAACAATAGGATTTTGCTTTATATGCATACAGAGATAAAAACATTATATATGATAATAATAATGACAATAAGAAAAACAACAACTAAAACAACACAAAAGAGAATAAAAAAGGGGAAAAAAAAATATGAAACTGTTGTGTTGAAAATCTCAAGTTTCCGAAAGTACAGTGAGCCCCAAGACTGTCATTGTGGTGAAATTGCTAATTACTCTTGGTTTTGTTCGTAATTTTAACAAATATGGTAACTGAATAAGGGCTACAAAAATTTTATAATCTCTGCAAACACTTATGACTTTGGTTGATAGGGGGGTTAGTGATATTTAGAAACTATAAGGGAAAACAACAAGAAGAATGTAGGGTAAAAATAACAGATAGCATTTCAACTTGAAATTTGTATTTTTCAATCCTTTAATAACCAAATTAAGAAATTTAAAATTGTAACCCTTTTCCTTTCTCTTCAATCAAGCATCTAAGTCCTCAATCCGGAGTTAATTTCTTTTTGTGTGTGTCCGTGTTTGTGTATGTGTGCATTAAAATAAAAAATAAAAAACTATCAAGGGGAAACCTACTATCAGGGGGCTCTGTTGACAAGAGATTTGCGACACGCGCTGCTGAAGCATCTAACCCCTCCAAATCATCAGGAGCATCTTCCGAAATATCTCCTACATCAAACCCTGTTGTGATTCAAGTCAGCACTTCATCTTCTTTCATAGTCAAACAGCACACACACAGAGGAATAAAAAATAAAAAACACCAACCAACCTTAACATTGAATTGTTGAGATGAATATTAGATACTACAACTGATAACATTTGGGTAATGACTGGATAACTATTAAATTTGAAAATAAAGCAGGCTTTCAAAGCTACAATATCTTACAAGCAGTGCAAGGAAATCCACCAAATATAGCAACTGGTCGAGTAGGAGCAGTTGGACAAATCCACTTAATCTGCATCGAAAGGTTTAAATAGAAAAAGACAAGATATAGTCACTAAAAAACCGTAATATATCAGAGAAAGACCCATGTTACTAGTTAAATGACTTAAAATATACACTAGTATCACTTACATTTGGAAGAGGAAGAGTTTCCAAGAGCTGGGACCAGCTGCAAGACAAAGCACCAAATGACTAAATCAACAATAGTCTATGTTGGGCACCAATCAAGTGGACATGAGGTGGTCGACTGACTAAAAATTGAGAAATCAACTACAAACAATAGTTTTTAGAAGTCTTCAATAACTATGAAGACTTTTATATAATATAATGCAAGAACAATCCAATGAAATTGTGTTAGTCTATCAAGTTTTGGGACCACCCTCAAGGTTTAGAACAATCCTAACATAATGGAAGAGAGAGACCATAAAGTATTCTAACATAGATGCCAGGATAGAACCTAAGCATAACCACATTAAACCTCTAATCTTTTTTATCTGACCTCATTATATTCTTTTTAAAATTTACAAAAACCTTATATTAATTTTGCTTTCCAAGTTAAGTTGAAAGGACAGCCAGGGTAGGGCACAAGCGGTCCCCATTCTAACCATGGAACATATAAGTTTTCAAACTCGAGGCGCACAACACACCTCGGAATCCAGAGAGGGGAAAAGAGAAAACGACAAGTAAGCATGTTTTGTTTAGTTCACGGTGCCATTACTCTCTTCCATCAAATCTGTTAGAATTTACCATTCACACTCACCTACTACACTCCACCTACCACCAATTTACCCTCACCTACTCCTCACCTACTACCCAAACCCTCTCCTATATAATGAGCCACTCTGATTTGTAATATAACATATCAATCTATCAATCAATCAATAATACATATATTTTTACATGGTATCAGAGCAGGTTTAGAACCTGATATTTTCGCTTCCCCGGCGGGCGGCAACCTCACCTTAGCTGCCCGCCGGACTTCAACCTATTCCGCTTACACATACCTGCCATCACTAGCTATTACAAAGTCCCTCTCTGATTGACTTATTTTCTACACACCACTCGGTCCGGTTCAATGTCCGCCGACTCGGCGTCCTCCGCTTCTCTCCTCCGCTGGAGCATCCCTTCTCCCCTCCGCCGCTCCTTCTGGCTTGCTGAAGCCGCTCCTCTCTCCGCCGCCATGGCCGCGCTTCGTCGCTTGTTACCGGCGGCGCAACCAGAGGCCCTCCGCCGTCTGGGTTTCATCGACAGCCGAGCCTATGGATCGGCTTCTGCGGCTCAGTTTCAGTATGATTACGACTACGAAGAGTCCTCGGTCTGTTGTCCAAGAGGTTGGAAGAAGGATACTCCAAGGGTGAAACTGGGTTTATTCTGGAATTTCAAATGCTCAGAAGAGTGCTTGTTGAAGCATGTGAGAAATGGAATATATTCTACTGGGGGAAACGGTTTCTCTCTCTAAAGACCCATCCACTCACCTTTCTTTCTTTTCCTTCCTTTAACCCCACTCACCCACGTGACCCACTACTTTGTTTCTTTATTTTTTATTTTTTTTATTATTTTTTTTTATCTCTTCTTTTCAAACCAAAAAAAAAATAAAAAAAATAAATAACTAAATAAATAAATAACTCAATAAAATAAAATCATATCTCTCCCACCAACACACCTTCTTTCCCATACGCACCAGGTTCCCTTTTTTATTTTTTAAAAATCCATCTTTCCTTTCACACCCCACTCTTTTTTTTATTTAAACATATACAACCCATTTTTTTTATTTGTTTTCTTCTTTTTATCATCCTCCTGATCATGCTCCCCCCTTTCTCTCTCTCATTTTTTCACTTTCCAATTCCCCGAAAAAAAAATCATGTTCCCAACTTTCTTTATTTTATATAAGGAAGAAAGAGATGGACGGAGAGCAGTCTCATGCCCTTGTCACAGAAAGTAGAGGCAGAGATAGAGAAATGGGCAGAGGTAGAGGAAGAAGTAAAAGCAGAGGGCGTTCATAGTCCAGACAGGACAACATGAGGAGGTGTTTTTACTGTGATCAAGAGGATCACGTAATAAGAGATTGCCCAGAGAAAAAGGCGGACAGACAAGCCAAAGAGAAGGCTAAGGGACACGGAGGTCCCTCAACTACAGCAGTTGCAGTGCATTCCTCTGACGATGAAGAGGTGTTGCTTACAATCTCGTCAGAGTTGGAGACACCCGGCTGGATTTTGGATTCAGGGTGTACGTTCCACATATGTGCGGATAGGAAGCTTTTCTCCACTTACCGAAGAGTCAGCGGTAGCATTATCCGGATGGCCAACAACACAGTGAATAGAGTTGTCGGCATAGGGACAGTGCGATTCCTTACTAAGGATGGAAGAAAAGTAATTTTATCTGAGGTCCGACATGTGCCAGGAGTACGGAGGAATCTAATCTCCCTGAGTATGCTAGATCTAAAAGGAAATTGTTTCTCATCTAGTGGCGGGGGTCTTCATGTACGCAGAGGGGATAGAGAAATGTTGTAAGGCAAGTTGTGCAACAAACTGTACAGACTGGAAGGAGAAGTTTTGACAAAGATGAGTGTTGTCAAATGCCAGTCGAAGGGTACAAAGAGAGAACATACGCAACCAAAGCGTATGATTGAGCAAGGCTTTCATCAGGAATGGCGAAAATGGTGCACGGGAACGCAAGGAGGCAGTTCAAAGGTGCACAGATCTGAGCCAGTGAAGCCAATCTTGAAGAAAGTTCAGAGCAAAGAAACCAAGTCTGTAGAAACTATGCCAGTGAAGAAGAGAGTTTCTTTTGCTCCCGTGTTAAAGACATTTTGCAACCTCTCAAAAGATGCAAGGGAGGGATGCAATTTCAAGTCGCAAAGTGAGCTTTGCAATGCACTCCAATAAGGGGGTGCAAGCACTATGCACGGAGTTGCATAGTGGTAACTTGTACAGACCGGTGGAAGGTGCCTTGGCAGAAGGGCTAACTGTCAAACATCAGAACGGACGTACAAGTGAGACAGAACCGAACATCAGGGATTGCAGCACAGACAACGGACGTATGAGAACGCTGGGAAGTTGTTCTGAAGTGCAGAAAGCAAAGGCTGGTTGTTCAGAAATAAGCTCCGAGCAAGGAAAATTGAGGATGTTGATGTGTCAAACTCTGAAGTTTTCTAGTTGCTCCCGTGTTCATCATGGAAGGAGTTGCACGGTAAAGGGTATCCCGAGCAAGGGGTGCAGTGCATCCAATCAGGGGGTGCTTGATACCTTGGCAGCAGGTTTTGTTGTGGATCACCTCACATGGGCTGAGGGGGTGATTGTTGAAGGTCACCCCATGTGAAAGGGGTGATCCTCATGTCAACAAAGGAAGACAACCAACCAAGTCAAGCTTGGTGGCCACCAACCATGTCAAAAGTCAAGAATGAAGGCTCTCCCACCTACTCCTTTGTGTATAAATAGAGACGGGAGGGAGAGGATGAGATACAGATCAAAAATTAGAGAGTGAGAGCACCTACCACCAATTTACCCTCACCTACTCCTCACCTATTACCCAAACCCTCTCCTATATAATGAGCCACTCTGATTTGTAATATAACATATCAATCTATCAATCAATCAATAATACATATATTTTTACAAAATCAATCAAAAAAGAGAATCCACTAGCTCCATCAGAACAGGACAAGACATTGACATTTTCTCGTCCACTTATTTCTGTTTTTCATAAAACTAGTTCAACTATAATGCTGATTGGCAACATCCCACAATCCCCAGCCCACAGTCACATCTCACAAACTATAGATCAATGCACATCAACAGAAACTATACTCAAGCCAAAATATGAAATCTCGAAAATAAACTTAAAGCTGAGTATACTGATGATTTCCAAATTCAATGAATAAAATTCAAAAGAAAAGCATCAACTCAGTTTAGAACTGTAGAAATGTTAGTTGTAGACAAGGGAATGACATAGCCAATGCAAGACAAGCATTAGTACCTTGAGCCCTTATCGCCAAGACCGTGTAGCCAAACTATAGTAGCTTGGTGTTTACCTTTAGGCCTGACCACATGGGTCCTTCCAAACTCAAATGTCCTCGCCCTACTACCTGAATGGTCGCAACAATAAAAGTTCAAAACACATTATGATGCTTAAAGGTGAACCAACTAGCCAGAACCCGAATTGATAGATCTTCACACTTCAGATATAGCCATATAAGAAAGACAATGAAGAGGGGGATCGGGAAAAAAAAAAAAAAAGACTAACCAGAACCTCCACTAGAGCTACTGAAGCTCATCTTTTCGCCCCCGAATTGTAAGCTTGAAATCAAAATTGAGCATCTCTATTTACCCATTCTGGAGAATAAAAATGGAATATGACCCTTGACTCTGCATCAGATACTAGTTTACACAAGTTATATAATCAGAAAGAGAAAGGTACCCAAGAAAGGTGAGATAAATAAAAATAAAATAAAATAAAATTAAAGAAAAGCAAGTCTTTATGAGCAAGAATCCACAACAGATCAAAGCACATCAATGCAAAAATGAACCTATGCTTGTGGTTGTGGACAATGGCCAAAGAAAAGAAGTTCAACTATAACAACCCAAGAATATTTTCCCCTAAAAAACAAAATCCCATCTTTCAAACTCATTACACATTTACCTGTAAACATCATGTATATATATGTATATATGTACCACAAATTACAAACCTAGAAGCTCAAATCTTGATAAATAATTGGTAAAACGTGTTTAGTATGAACTTGCAGATATGTCATATAAGTGTCAAATTTGGAGGTGAGAAAGAGAGGGTGAGGTTTTAGCTTTTTGTACCAACGTGGACTTGGGTTTTGGTAGAGTCAAACAAATCCAAAAGCATATGGGCTTTTCGCTTTACTCTCTCTTCTTCTTCTTCTGATATACTAGTTTTTTCCCACTTTTCTCTCTCCTTCCCTTGGCTTAGTTTGTTCATGCTCTGGTCCTCACAGTCACAGAAACCCCCAACACAAGCACATTATAGAGAAGCTGGAAGGAAAATCCACAGGGTAATTGTATTTACAAACCATAAAAAAAATCTCGACACACACCATTTATATTATTAAGATAAATTTTTAAATAAAATTCAAATGTTCACATACACACTTCTTAATAAAAAATAATTATTTAAATATAAACGGTTGATCGGGATATATATTTAAATAATTTATTTTTATTTATCAATTTATGTCTAAATATTTTCTCTTTGTCCAAAAATTTGTATCTAAACAAAACAAATAATGTGTATTGAGATTTATTATAGTGTACGAATAGAAATTTTCAAAGAGAAAAGTTAGGGATCATGAATTTTTTTTTATGAAAATGATCATGAAAGAGTTATGATTCTTGGATTACCTTGATTAGTGCGTGGTGTTTTATTCTAAGTGTAATCCAAGGGTCACAAAGCTTTCATGATTATTTTCATAAAAAATTTTTCATGATACCTATCATTACTGATTTTCAAATCCAAAACTAGTCAAATTTTTTACAACTAATGTTATGTTACGAAAATGCCCTTCATCAAGGTGTACATTTCTCGTTTAGGCTTAATCATGATTGTTTGTTAGAGTCTGCATTGATTTAATTTAGACTAATATTATATTTAAAATCAAACCCATCATCATTAGTTTTAAATTTTTTTGACTTAGAATTAAACCAATCCTTCATTGGAACCATTCCAATAAGAATAATATTGACATTTTGGCACAAAAAAATCAACTATAAGCAAGTTAGGTGTATAATTTTGAACTTGAAGGGGTTATGTATTTTCTCGTTAAATCAAGTTAATCTATAAAAATATTAATATTACAAATTATTTTAGAAACTTATTCAACCAATCATATAGTATTGTTGTAAATAAGATTTGTAAGGAAAAAATAAATAGTAGAAATTATGAGAAATGAATTTTTTTTTTTTTTGATTCATGATATTTTTAAAGAAATGCTAACAAGTTTCTTTATATTATGATATACTTTCATAAATTTCTTAAAAACTATTTTTAGAGGTTTTTTAAAATTTCATACATTATGTACGTACTTTGAAAAAAAGTGTCAGCGTAAGTTTCTCTTTCAAAAAGAATTTCCTAATAACTATGTACTTAAAGTCTCTTAATAAATTACGCTAACTTCCTATGCTAATCAGGACAAATAGTTGATTTCATTATTTTAACATAATTATATCGTGTAACTTTTAGATTTATAATTATATAACATGTATCCTTATTTTGTTTCTCCACTATTTATCCATGGACAAATATTGATGAATTGAAAATACCAATTTTACCCCTTTCATTACATTACCATGACTATAATCTCAACTCCCTCTCTTCCTATCCTCTCTCATTTCCCTCTTCCAATCTCTCTCCATCAATGATAGTCATCCTACCACCACAACCACCAGTGAATTACCACAATCTATATATTGTTTGATGCCTTCACAAAATCTACAAGCTTGCTTCCTTTGGGGAATACAACAATTTCAACAATTGGTGACATAAGTGCATGATTAAGAATCGAGGGTTGGTGGTGTTATTTTGTGATGCTAGAAGGGGTTTTGATGTTGTTCAAAGTGGAAGGGTTTGAAGAAAAAGAGATGAGAGAACAAATGGGGTGGTGAAGGCACTGACTGGTGGCAGGTACAACGATAGTTAGTAGTGTTTTGGAAAGATAGTAAAAAATTAATTTTTTGATCTTTTTTTTTTTTTTAAACATTTTGGCTTTTTTGGTGTAAAAAAATAGAGATAATATGACCTAAAAAAATCAAAAAGTTGACTTTTTTTGTGCTTGCCAAAATGCCCCTTAGTAACACATGATCACGTCTCTACGCTTGCCAAAATGCCCCTTGGGGTTAGGTAGTGGTGATGAAGAGTATGAAGGCCTAGGTGGTTGCTCCATTGATGGCAAGGTCATAGAAGTGAGGGAGATGGAGTCCTAAAAAAATAATAAACAAATAAATTTCTAAATTTTTTTAGTTTATTTATTATTCTACTTTTTAAAATTTGAAGAGACTCATGTGAACTCTAGTACTCACATGAGAGAATGCTTGGACTTTGTATTTTGTGACTCTCAAGAAGTTGGACCCTGACTTTTTTGTCACATATTATTGTTATTTTATTGATTGGTAGAGGGTTTTTTTTTTTTTTGGAACACGATTGGTGGAGTTTAATCAATGCCATCTTTAGAATTATTTGTTTGAAGCCACCACCAATGTGATTGGTGAAATTAGGTCTTTGATATTTTTTAGAATCCTTGTAAGAAAAAAAAAATGTTAGGTATCATTTTATGCATGTTAGAAGCACAATTTTGACCTCCATGCAAAAGGTAAAATTGACAATATGACTATTATATGTATGATTAATATGTGATAACTTTATATTTTAAAACACATATATATATATATATATATATATAGAAAATTGCTTCGTAGCTTGAAAAAATGAAGGCTCGAGTGGCCCGAAATCCAAAACGACATCGTTTTGGTTTTTTTTTTCCTTCTCTTTTCTCTCTAAAACAGAGAGGCCAAAGAAGAAAGGGAGGGGGAACAGAGAGAAGAGGAAGGAAGAGAGAAGAAGAAGAAGAAGAAAAGAAGAGAGGCGGAACAGATCTGTGTGTACACACATATCTATTTTTGTATAGACACAGAGCGAAGGTGATGGCGATGGGCTGTGTATATACACAGATCACCGTCGGCGTCCATGACGAGGCAAGGCGAGCTCCATCATCGGCTTCAGTGGCCACCAAACAGCTTCATTTGGTTTGTGGGTCTAATTGGTTTGATTTTTGGTTTTGATTTTTAGGTTTGATTTGTTTGATTGTTTTTAATCTTTGATTTTTAGGTTTGATTTGTTTGATTGTTTTTAATCTTTGATTTTTAGGTTTGATTATTTCCTCTCCTCTCCTCTCATCTCCACTCCTTTCTTCTTCTTCTTTTCTCAGAGTGAGTCATGGAACTTGCGAGTTATGGAAAGGAAGAAGAAACGACCAAAGAAAAAAAAAAAAAAAAAAAAGGTGCCAAAACAATTTCATTTTGGCACCTCGAGCCATTCAAGCCTTAATGAATTCAAGCTACCTAGCGGGATTGATACATACATATATATAATTTTTTAAGTACCTTGGTATTAGATTTTGTGAATATTTTCTACTTCTCTAGTATTTGTACAAAAGTATAGAAATTAAAGAGACCCATGTAAAAATAAAGACATATAACTAATTGAGATTAGTTTAGTGGTTAGAATTTATGTAACTAATTAAAGGAGAAATTTACAATGTGCACCCTTTCAAATGGTGTACATTGTAAAAAGGTTATGATTTTTTATGATGAACGTTATGATTGTTTGTGATGAACGTTATGATTGTTTGTGATGTGTGTTATGACATTTTGTAGTAAAGTTATAAATAGAAAATTTATGAGGTATACCCTAAAGTTAGAAATGATAATGTTATGACATTTTATGATTTTTGTTATGACACTTTAAGATTTTGTTATCACATTTTTCAGTGAAAAAAAGTTATGACTTTTATAGTGAAAAAATTATGACATTTTGGGTTTAAATTATGAAATTTTGTAAAAAGTTATGAAAAACATATCATATGCACCTTTTTGAGGGTGCACATTGTAACATTTCTCCTAATTAAAAGGTCAAGAACTTAATTCTTCTCTCTTACCTCATGTACCAAGATGACCAAGAATTCTCTCTCTTTAAATTTTCATATCATTTTATTTCAAAATACTCACAATTATTGAATTATGTTAGAATTTTGAAGTGCAAGAATCTCAAGATATAATATCTATTGATTGTAAGTAATTGAAGACATGAAAAAGAGATTTGAAACAAAGGATCCATGTCTTGCTAACCACATTTCTATGGTGAGAAAGTGTGAAAATCTTTGTTTTAGCAATTTTCAAAAATGAATTTTCTAGTTCATGTATTTCTAGTGCTTCTTGAAAAGTAAATTCTAATGAATTTATTGAAATGATTTTTAAAAACAACGAATGAAACATATTTTTTATTTTCAATCGGTAGGAGATTATTTACAGATTTGAAGAGAACTAAATCAAACTGTATAAATAGTCCAACACATATTTATCAATCTAACAACCAATATCAACCACCGCCACACAAAAAGCCTATAAGATAAAAAAATAAAATTAAATAAACTCATTACAATAAAGCCCTTGTAAAGAAAGAGAAATAATCAATATTTGTCTTTAATAAGGATTGATCTTATGATCTCCAAATTAAGAGTACACAAAAGCTTTGAAGATATGAATACACAAATTTACACTAAAAAATCATATATATATATGTAGACACTTTGTAAGAATTAATATTTTCAATCAAAAGAAAGTTAATTAATTATACTTAATTTAGTGGATGCAACTTTATGTCACAACTTTATTTCGTCAACTAATCTTTTCCTACCTTAATCTGGAGAATCAAAACTATAGTCCTGTATTAATTAGTTTATTATAAAAGTGATTTATATTCTACCATTAAAATATTCATGATATGGGACAAAAACAATCATGTCACTAACCTTAAACATAAACAAACTTAATGTGATATAATAGTGCCTAAGAACGGCTCAAAATAAAGATCACGACAAAAGTTTCAAATAAGCTAGTTGAAAAAAAATTAAAATTTTAAAAGAATTGTGAAAATTCTAAGTGATTCGTGATTAGATCAAGATTATAATATTCCAAATCCCAATTATCTAAAATACACAATCTAAATCAACTAACACTTACGAAAGTGATTTAGATTGTTTGTTTTTGGAATAAACAATAAATCAACACAAACGATTTTTTACGTGGAAAAAGTCACAATTGAAGAACCTTCAACTGTAATAAAAAACTACGGGCGAAACGCCACTAATCAATCCACTACTGAAGAAAGAAAGATTACAAAGATAATACATAAATTACCCAACTCAGTCAATTTGTCTTCGAATCTTCTGCAACTCTTTCACCACGCCTTCATCTCGGAACTGATCAATCCTGAAGT